GTTTTACCAATAAGAGAATGTATATATCTTGCCCTTTTTTGTTTTCTACTAATAGCTGTTTTTGTAACTAATTTTTAGAAAAGAAACCTTCGGCTTGTTTATGATGCTATTGGTACCTTAGCAGAGACTGTTGGAGGAGAGCTGAATCAGGTATCTAATGCTTGCTTTGCTTGTTCTTATCTATTTTGGCTTGTTTATCTCTCGTTTAGTTTGAAAAATGGCAGATAAAAACTTAGGTCTTGTGGTCTTTTAATGATCAGCTAAAGTTGCTGCTAACTTCCATCTTTATATTGCAGCCCAGGTATTTACAGATTTTGATGCCTCCATTGATTGCAAAGTGGCAGCAGCTTTCTGATGCAGACAAAGACCTTTTCCCGCTACTAGAGTGCTTTACATCTATAGCACAGGTATGGCACACTTTTTTCTTTAGAGAGTTGAACTGTAGAAGCCACTCTAATCTGTAATTTAAAAACTTTTTAGCCATCCAAGAATATCCATGTATCAATTTATATGAAGTGACAAAAGTTATTGTTATTTTCCTTTCTAACATTCTTGTATTGCAAAGTCTCATTCTGCTGTCCAGATTTTTTGTTACAAATTATACATGATTGAACTGCCATTGAATTGTAAGATTGAATTCTCTGAGTTTAAAATGAACATGTTTAGCCATCGTGGTTGCATATGGCTAGCACTGATAGTGACTGATCATGAAGCCTGGGGAGGACGAACTAATTTAAAGAAACCCAGAAATCATTTGGCTCTAGTTCTTCTCTGTCCTGTGCTTATGTTGGGGTGCTTATTTTGGGGCATAAAATTATAAATTCATGCTCTTTATTAATTGACTGGCAAAATATGTTTTAAAATGGAACCTATGGTACCCTGTGATTGTAAAGGCAATGAGATTAATTCAAACCTAAGGGATCAATGAGCTCTACTAGGATTCTCAGAAGGCTTATCACTTTCACTATAAGTGATGTTTCTCCCTCTCACCTTCTCCCTCCTTCCATCCATTTCTCTCTCACACTTAGTCCAAAGATTTCAAGTTTTAGATTAAATATCAAGTGGGATTGGAGCCTTAATGATACTCACCCATCTTTATGGTTTGTCCTTTTCAGGCACTCGAAAATGGTTTTTCCCAATTTGCTCAACCAATTTTCCAAAGGTGCATAAAGATTATCCAATCACAGCAATTGGCAAAGGTTGATTTTTCTTTCAGTTTACATTTCTTTTATCATGTGCTTAACTTCAACTTTGTTTGAATCTTGATTAAGGATTGATGCTTAATTTGCAGGTTGATCCTTCATCTGCTGGAATGCAATATGAGAAAGAGTTTATTGTGTGTTCTTTAGACTTGCTCTCTGGGCTGGCAGAAGGTCTTGGTAGTGGCATCGAAAGCTTGGTATCAACCTTAATAAAATTTTTATTTTCTGGTCATATACACTGTGCATCCATCTGGTATTTGTTGTTTGCATCTGTGTCCTTGTTAAACTTGTCATTTAATGATGTTTTGAAAATTAATTCATGAGAACTTGGCAGTCGATTAAAACAAAATCTGTCATTTAATTGTGAACATACCACTATCAAACAATTTTTTGATTGCAATGCCACTAGCTGCTGATTGATACAAAATTTTGCCATTCTGTGCCTCGTGATTCTTTTTTGGTGAACCCTAACTTAACACATTTGGGCTTCAATCCTAACAAAAATCTTTTGCTCTCAGGCTTTGGTTTCAGTAATATTGTGCCCCAGTTGGTCTGATAGTGTATCTTAAAATGAAAAATGAATGGAAATGTTCTGAAGAATCATTCTAGTTTTCAAGATCTAAGCCATTCCAGTGTTTGAAACTCCATGCACCAGGGGCAGGGGAATGGCTTATGGAGATTAACATTTTGTTTGAGGAAAAATGTTGTGCTTGGGGTTCAATTCCTTGTTTAGAGTTCTAAGGCAAGATGTTCTGTTCATCTTGTGCATGTGCAGTTGCTCACATTGATACAAATCGGTTTTACAGGTTTCACAAAGCAATTTGAGGGACCAACTTCTGCAATGTTGTATGAATGATTCTATTGATGTTCAACAAAGTGCGTTTGCTCTTTTTGGGGATCTTGCAAGAGTGAGTTTATAATGCATGCCTTACAAATTCCTTTATATATGATTATCAGATTTGCTTTTATCCCTTTATGTTTGTAGAGCATAACAGTACCAGCGCTTTATATACAGGCATGTCCGGCATATTTGCATCCTTGTCTATCTGAATTTCTTAATGTTGCAGCCAAACAAATGGTAAGGTGAAGCCTACTATACAACACTGATATCTATTTGAGCGGTCCAACCTTACACATTTTCTGGTAAATGCAGAGCACTCCTAAGCTAACAGAATCCATTTCAGTGGCTAACAATGCTTGCTGGGCTATTGGAGAATTAGCAATTAAGGTTGGCTTCCTGTCTCTATCATGTAGCTTTGTCAAACTGATGCATATTCTGTTTTATCAGTAACTAGCTTAGATTTTATCATTTGTAAGATTAGAGAAAAGTATATGTACACTAGCGCTCTTGATATAAAAGCCATCTTCAAGTGAGAAGAATTTTGCGGTAGAAATTTTTGCTTTTCAAACTGTTCATTATAGTATGCTTGTTTCTGTTAAATAAATGCATGGATTATTTTTACTTTTGGGTGAGTACCATCTTTATTTAACAAGTAGATGGTGGAAATTTGAGTTCAAAATAAAGGGCAAATAAGAGTTACATTGAGCTGGGTTTTTTAATCTAGATTCTTAGTCTGTATTTTCACTCTATATATAGCGGGGTGATTGGTAGCCATAATTGAGAGAGTAGCATGTGAATAACTCTGAGAGAGGATTAGAACTTGTGAATTCTAACTGCATCTTTGATCTTGTTGCTGGGAAGCACTCATGCTTTTGAAGGATGGACTTATAAAGGCTTCGCAAACAGTTTATGATGCTTGACTAAGTGGTGGGTTATTACATCTTTTACACTGAATTAACAGGTCGGTCAGGAAGTTTCTCCATATGTCATGACTGTAGTCTCGAGCATAGTTCCAATTCTCCAACATGCAGAGGTATTACTGAACTGTATTATTGTTGTTTCTAGTTTCTGTTTGTTTTCTTCCTTTTTTCTTTTTTAAAAGGATAGATTTCCATATTGCTGTTGGGCAGGGTGTCAACAAATCACTTGTAGAAAATAGTGCTATCACTCTCGGTAGGCTTGCTTGGGTTTGTCCAGAGATTGTTTCACCTCATGTGGAGCATTTCATGCAAGAATGGTGCACTGCTTTATCCATGTAAAGTACCTTTGTTTCTCAGTTGCCGTTTGCTAGTATAAGAGCTGTTGGTTTAATAATGTCTGGTAGCCTGCATCATAGCTAATCTTTACTATGAAAATTTGGGATCAACCATAGCCAAATTCGAAATGTGTCAACCCACAAATTGTTACATTTGTACTGTAGTTGAGATTACATCCTCCTGCCCTTTACGCTTTCCACTTCACACACAAACACAGTTTCCTTTAACAACTTTCCTTCAAAACAAGCAATTTATCAATGCAGCAAGGAAAATAAGTTTTAGAACGAGTTGCTCATTATTAACTTACCAAAGTATGGAATCTGTATTCTGATGTTGCAAGAATTGTTTATCCAAAATGGAATGTACATGTTCAGACATACGTGCGTATAAATTTATATAATAGGCAGTTCAAACAATCCAATGCTTGAATCAGCATTGTAACTTAAACTGGCTGAACAGGTGGAGCTGGATCTATTCTCTATTAATGCCAGGATGGGGAAATATAGATAATTGAATTACTTGTTCCTTCATTACCATCAGAATCTCCATCTCAACTCCTCAAAATTTCAGTCATTGAGCATGAAATTGTCATTCATCATTCACCCTATAGTTGCTGCTATGATCTTTCAAAAGCTTCTTATGAATTATAAATTCCTGACAGGATACATGATGATATAGAGAAGGAAGATGCCTTTCATGGTCTCTGTGCAATTGTATGTGATTTGTTTCAAAAACACTCTCAGTGGATTATATTAGTAATTGCAATTTTGAAGGAGAATTTGTCAAATATTTGCAGGTTCGAACAAATGTATCTGGGGCTTTAAATTCACTGGGCTATATATGCAGAGCTATTGCAAGTTGGCATGTAATATTTGCAGCAAACTATTTAACTTTCGAGCGTTTGTTACACCTATTCTATTCAAGTTTAATGCTGTCTGTCTCTCAGGTAATGAGGAGCGAGGACTTACACAACGAAGTCTGCCACATCTTGCTCGGGTATAAACAGGTATGTTTCATCCCTTTTGGTGCCCTTTGGTTCAAAATCTTAGATGATGGAGATCATATCGTTACCAACCGGAGGAAGATGTACATGTACAGATTCTCAAAGATGGAGGATGGGAACAATGTCTTTCCACACTGGAACCGCAAGTGAAAGAAAGATTGTCAAACTATGGGGTATAAAAGTTACCGAGGTCATGAGTTGCTTACATAGAGGATTTGAGTTGTGACTTGTACGAGGTCCGAAAGCTTAGTTTTCCTTGTGGGTTGACGTTGCAAACACTTTAACAGAAGTTCAAAACTGATCATTTCTTTGGGAGCAGGGTCTAAAAGGTGCGATTTTGGAAGCACCTAACACGACTCGTATCATGATCCTTCAGGTCCATCAGATTTGGTTCATACACGTTTCGATTTAGCCCAAGTCATCATTAGAGAGTGAGACATAGGAATTGTAAACATCATAGCCTGTAAGTTTGTTTGTATGTTCGATCCATGCATTCCGAATCATTGTTAAGTGTCGAAGTATTTCTTCTTCGAAGAATTGTTCACCTTGCTAAATTAACGGAATTTCAAAATGCTGAGGATTTTGTCATTTTTCTTTGAAGTCTGAATCTGATAGTGTTTTCAATGGCGGAAAAATGGCAGAAGCTTCTTGAAAAAGTCATCTCCTTCCAATTATTGCCGCCATTTCCAGAGCCAAGGTTTCAGAGAGTTTCGAACCTTAAAACGTTGGACCGAAATTTACAATTTGAAGTTATTGAATTACAAACACAACATGTAGATTACATACAAATGTTTTTAAAGGTAATCATAATCTGATAAAGAAAAAAAGAGTTGAGAAATGAATCAATCACCGTCCGTCGCCACCGCCCCTCTCCTTCTCAATCTGCTGCCTCTGCTTCTCGGCGAGTTTCTCCAAAGCTGATTGCACCGCATCGCGCCCACCGATAAGCAATCGGGTCACCACCTCCGGATCTTTCTCGAACCGAGCTTCCTCGAACTCCTTCCGCGCGTTATCTCTCAGCACATCCCTCCACAGAACGCCCCGCGAATCGGCCCACATGAAGAACCGGGTCGCCCGGAGGATGTCGCGGTAGAGGCCCAGCGCCTCTCTCCGAGTGCTGGTGAGTCGCCGTCTAGTCAGCAACTCTTCTTCCTCGTCGTTTAGGGATTTCTCCTTCTTCACCACGTGTCTGTCAAGAATCTCCTCCACGGTGTCCGGACCGTTGTGCAAGAAACGCTGGATGAACACGACGTCGCTTCCAGAAACAAGCTTCAGACGGATCGTTAAATTTCGGCAGTTTCGGACGTAAGCGATCATTCTTCTGCTTTTCCTTTGTCTCTGCCTCGAAGCTAATTTCCCAGGCGGTTGAACAAAAAGATGGTTGCGGCCGTGAAGCCGTAAGGCCAAATGTAAACGGTTGGAATTGGGCTGTGTCATTGTGTTTCAGGCCCAAAACAGTTTTGGGCTTGGTCCATTTTTGAGAATCAGAACACCACCCACCCAAAAGCCCAAAAACCCAAAAAGCTTACCTCAAAAGGCCTTAAAAACAATCAATAAATTATAAAAATAATATAGTACGACTAAAATTAGTATTCTAATATTTTAAGTATGATTAATTTGTAGTTGACTAATTAGTAGTATAACTTTTTAAAATTTAGAAACTAAAAAATATATGAATAACAAAGTTTCACAATAACTATTGAGAATGCCTCATCTTTCTTCAAATCATTTTATTTTGTCTTAAAAGAAACATAATTTTTTTTAGCATATTAATGTTTTAAAATAGGATACATTTCCCTTATAAATATTATAAGAAGGAAAAAGATTTCATTAAATATCTTCTCTTATATAGAAATCCGGAGAAGGTAGGTTGTTTCAATCTTTGACTAAAGTAGACAATGAAAATTAATTCTCTTACTAATTAACACTGAAACAGAACGTCGGCGAAACTTGAATTGAAAATTAATAGACGAACGATCTTAATTTTTTCGATTCAACTGGTATGCTTTTGATAAAGATGAAGACACCATTAACAAATAAATATCAGAACGAATAATTTATCAATCAAATTAACCTACCGCCAATAGAAAAGAAAAAAATTCAATCAACAAATTTCTTTAAAACTTATTATATTGAATTACTCCCTCATGTATATATATTTACATCATGTGTGGTTAATGAAGAGAAAGGTATTCTAAAGATGAAAGATCAAATACAGCAAAACATCAATAGGCATCACGCTGCTAAACTACAGATATTCTTCAAATTTTGGTAAACCCAGTAACTCTCCAAATAGCCTGTCAATCCACCGTCTGATAGCCTTGAAAACATACTTGTCGATAAACTCGAACAATCCTCCACATGGAACTTCAAAATCCATGTCGCCATGATCGTCTTTCCGAAGCCCCGGCACAGCTTGCCAATAAACCCTAACTCCATCTTTAACCAGTAATGGCTCCCTAATCTTGCTATAGGCCATGCTGCGGCTCCGGGAGAATGGTGGGGTAGGAGTCTTCCTTGGGTGCAGTGGCACCAAATCTTTCAATGAGGTTAAGGTTGGAGCCTCACAATTTGGGACAGCAGTCATCTCAGTTATTGATCTAGTAAAAGATTACCAAAGCTGCTGCTTTATTGCTTCTCTGTTTGGTGATTCTTTTGTTGTTTTTGTATATAGGGAGTAGAAGTTTGGTATTTGTGGAGTAGAGTAGATATCCACAAAAGATTCATGTCACCACTATGATTGGCAAAACCAAAAGTTTATTACATATATTACTATACAGTAGCTGGCTTTCCTAATGTAGTAGCGCAATCCAGCATTTGTGCTTTTCAAGGAAATAAAAAGCAAAGTTGAATCTTTTTGCTAACTAGTTTTTTTCTGAGGGGAGGGAAATAAAAATTTTAAAAAAATTATTATTTCAGTAAAACATATTATCCTTGGATCAATCCATCAACATATTTGATGTTATTTTTGTTTTTTTACTGTTAATTCTTTACATTTTATTCTATCGATAATACTCATTAGGATTTCGTCAATAATATAATTAATGTCGATTAAATAATCAATATTATACTAATAAATATCGATAGAATTTTACTGAATGTATTTTGTTGATGATATCTTGTTTTTTAATGAAAATAAGTTATTTACTTATAAATAAAAAATATTTAAATTGATATTATATTTTTAATTATTTTACAAGGAGGAAAAAGGGAAAAAAAAAAAAACTATGTATACTCTATGAATCATGGACAAACTTGGGCAAGCAGCGAAGAGCTCCAAAAACCTTACCAAACCTAGGTTTCATAGCTAGAACAACATGCTTGTCGAACAAATCGCAGAATCCATGGTCCTCGAGCCCTTCTTTTCGTAATGGCACTTCCTCCCAGTAAACTGCGACACCGTTCCTAAACCATGGTTCCTCCCGCTTAGCATATCGCGTCTTCAAGTTACCAGGGTAAGCCGGAGTCGGGGTTCCTGACTGCGGCAACGACGATACCAAATCCTTCAGCGACTCGTACCTTGGAAGAAGTTCACTATCAGCCATTGAAAAATATACTTGGAGGAAGCAAAGAGTCGGAGAATACAAATATGCCATGCACCATGCAATATGATCATGAGGATATATATTTTTATATATAAACCATATTAAAATATACTTCCATGTTGGTTGTTATTTGTTAGTACTATGACTCAAATAGCACAAGGATTTATATGAAGTATCGAATTGTAATTGGGTCTTCTTCCCTTCTTTTTTTTTTTCTAATTGTATAAAAACAAAAACTAAAATGAAATAAAAATCGTAATTAGAATTAAGTAAAACATTCTGCTACGCAGATTAATAGAGAGAAATAATTTCTTTTTGCAAACCAATAACAAAGTAATACTCAAATACCCATCTTCAAATTTGAGGATCTATACTTAAATCTTTATAAGAACATTCTTAAATATTATAAAGGAAAACAAATTTGTTGTTACAGTTGTAAAATTAGAAAAATACATTAATAACCCATAAGTCCTGTCCCGAAGGAGCCCATTAGTTTGGGCCAAATACCCAAGACAAGCCCATATATTAAACGGTGTCGTTGGTAACTACCGCTAAAACCCTGCAAAACGTCCGTTAAGCTGCGGCAGTAGTCTGTGTCTCATCTGCTTTCTACACATTCAAACAGTGAAAGCAACTTCCATGGCTTTAACCAAAACAAAGCTACGGTTTCCCTCCTCTATCTCTCCTTTATCTCAACGCTTCTTCAAGTTGTACTCTTCAACGCTGACCTCGCTCCGAGGAGATGAACCAGGAGAAACTGATACGAGCGAAAAGCCCAAAATCGCCGCCCAATCCCCTGAAGAAGCCGAAGTCGCCGAAAAATTCCATTCCCTCATCAAAGACCACCACCGCAAAAACCCTAACCTCGACCTGAACTCAGCCCCGCCAACCCCTGACTTAACTATCCCATCTCTCTCCCTCGACTTCTCGAAAATCTCCGCCGTCCACTCCATCTCCCCTTCCCTCGTCCGCCAAGTCATCGACAAATGCGGTGGGGTCCGCCACGGGATACCTTTTCTCCAAACCCTCTCCTTCTTCAACTGGGCCACCACCCGCCCCGACTTAGCTCCCTCGCCTGACCCGTACAACGAAATGATCGACCTGGCTGGAAAGTTGAGGCATTTCGACTTGGCTTGGCATTTGATCGACTTAATGAAAGCCAAGAACATCGTCGTCTCGATCGAAACCTTCTCGATTCTGATCAGGCGTTACGTGAATGCCGGATTGGCTGCTGAGGCGGTGCACGCTTTTAATCGTATGGAGGATTACGGGTGCGTTCCTGATAAGATTGCATTTTCAATAGTGATTAGTAGTTTATGTAAAAAAAGAAGGGCTGAGGAAGCTCAAACATTTTTCGATAAATTGAAGGACAAGTTTGAACCTGATGTGATTCTCTACACTAGCTTGATCAACGGCTGGTGTCGTGCCCGGAATATCTCGGAGGCCGAAAGGGTATTTAAAGAAATGAAAATGGCAGGGATTAAGCCTAATGTTTATAGTTATACTATTGTGATTGATGCATTGTGTAGGTGTGCCCAAATTACGCGTGCTCATGATGTTTTTGCAGAGATGATTGATGTAGGATGTGAGCCAAATTCGATTACTTTTAATAATTTGATGAGAGTTCATGTCAAGGCTGGTCGGACGGAGAAGGTTTTGCAGGTTTATAATCAGATGAAAAGATGTGGTTGTCCTGCAGATACAATTACATATAATTTTCTTATAGAGAGTCATTGTAGGGATGATAATCTTGATGAGGCGATCAAGGTGCTTAATTTGATGATTAAGAAAGAGTGTATCCCGAACCCTTCTACTTTCAATACTATATTTAAGTGTATTGAGAAGTTACAGGATGTGAATGCTGCTCACCGAATGTATGCTAAGATGAAGGATTTGAAATGTATGCCTAATACTGTTACTTATAATATATTGATGCGAATGTTTGCTGGTGCAAAGTCTACTGATATGGTTCTCAAGTTAAAGAAGGAGATGGATGAGAATGAGGTTGAGCCTAATGTGAATACTTATCGGATTTTGATCACAATGTACTGTGGGAAGGGGCATTGGAACAATGCTTACAAGTTCTTTAATGAGATGATTGAGGAAAAAGGCTTGAAACCAAGTATGGCTCTTTATCAGATGGTGCTGGAGCAGCTAAGAAAAGCTGAGCAGTTAAAGAAACACGAGGAACTAGTAGAGAAGATGGTTGATAGGGGATTTGTGACACGTCCTTTGTAGAAGTAGGTTCTTGCTGTTGTATCTGTGACGCCTGTGAGGTAATTCTCAATGTTTTTGACATAGTTGATTGATTAAATTGCTTCAAGTCTTATCTATTCACTGTAATGTCATAAGGTTGTACATTAAAAGAGTTGGGGTGCACTGTTTTATCTTCACCTTTTTGTGTTCAACAAGTAGCATACTTTGTTCTCACCATTTTGACTCAAAAGTCCTACCTAAAGTTGATTTAAATCTCCATCAAATTTTGGTTACAGTTTTCCAACTGTGTTAGCTGGACTAATCTCATGGACTAGCTTACTTCAATGATAATGTGTTTATGGAGGATCTTTACTGTCTGAACATCATATGTAGAAGTTCCTGTGCATCAAGTTTTAGTGTAGGTCCCTGTGGTAGCCGATCATTCTTGTTCCATGTGTTTTTGTCCAATTGAAACCGATGCCTACAATTGGTTCATCTTACAAATTTTTCTGTTTCACTTAAGTCTCATTTTTCAAGGCCCTAAAGGCGACATCAGCTGCCCTAAGACATTTCTTTCTATCTCTTTTGTATGAACAATCTATCTTTAGTAGGTGGGATATTGTTGTGGAAAGAAATGGAACCTTAGTGCCTGGTTGGTTCGAAGTTATGCATATGCTTGACTCAGTGACTTGGTAGAACACATGTTAAAGAGTTGGCACCATGACCACTTTAGGTTGTTAGTCAAGAACTGGACATTGATAAGAGTTGGAACAAGTTGAAATCATTGACACTTACACCACAAATGCAGTTATAGAAACAGTATATATTAATTTCATGAACCATTATTTTTATTACAACTACTGGTAGCATCCAAGGGGAAACAAACAATTCTTCCGGCTTCTATTTTGCATTATCAATGAACTAAAATTAGGAAATTGGATGACAGCTTCTCAGATACGAAGGCCATCCTCCCTATTGACTTCAAACTATCCTTTGAGATACCAAAATGCAGCTTCATTCCACTAGCAATGCCCCTGCATACCAAGCATCTCAGTCAGACCTTTCAGTCTCTCGGTTCCTTCACTAATCAAGAAGCGGATCCTTTGTTTATCCTTACAATCTCGATTACTCTCCATCTCCTGTCTAATCACCTGTTTCAATTCAGCTGCAAAACCCATATCTGATCAGGCAATGCAAGTACAGTAAATGTTTGAAGCATGTACTTCTTTCAAACAAGATGGATCAAAATCTACAAAGAACTGATACCAAAATGGCAATACAAAACAACAAAGCAATGAATATGCATTAAGATTTAAGCTCAGAGAACAGGGGTTCTCAGAACTTTTCTTAGCAGCATTAACCAGTATCCAGCTTTCACCTCTAGAATGATCAGGAGCTCTTCGAGCAGTCCGTAGAGCTTGCCTGTAGAGCTTCAGCGCCCTAGCACGAAGAAGGAAGTCCTGCAACTCCAAGGAGAGAAACATGACTGATTCTCTCCTTTTAGATAAAAAGGAAATCCTTCGTTTGTTACAAAACAAATTTTAAGCCCAAATGAAAGTCACATTCCCCGATCTTCAAAAACATTTCCTTTCACAAATCTAGTAACCAACTCAAAGAATTGAATCGAACTACGTTTAGCTGCTTTCGAAAATCAGTAAAACTCGGGCACTCACTGACATTTCCAACTAAGTCAGTCTTTGGATTTGATTACAAAGCTAAGAACATGAACTTACCTTGAGACAAAGAGAGGGGAAGGGAATGAATGTTAAGAGCTGAAAGCTGCAATTAATCCGACAACAAAAGGCCCCAAGCTTGCGAAATTGACACCCAGACTCTTTGGCCGTTCAACGAAGGAAAGAAGAACGCTGTTGCGAACGTCCGATGGTTCTGGTCGTTGCTGGGAAACGGCGTGGAGGCAATGAGAATGATAAAAAGGCCTTTGTATTCGACAAAGGCTTTATAATTCTTTCGTAAGAAATAACGGGCTCGTCCATCAATTCATGGGCCGTTGGCCTGTAGCAAAACAAAAGAGTCCTACTTGGGTTTAAGTCCATGGTTTAATTCCTAAGAGAACTGATTGAAAAATCTGAAGCCTACCAGCGAAGGAGAGAAGCTTGGAGGTCCAAGTGTTAAATTCTCTTTGTAATCTTCTCTACTAGAGGACCACAATCCTTATTTGCTGAGTCCCTTTGTGATGAGGGGGACACCCAGGCACTTCACTGGCAATGAAACAAGTTTGAAGCCAATTCACTGCTGAATATCAGAAAGAATATGCTTAGGATAGCAAAGGAAAACAGCTCAATCTTGGCACTGTTGTGCTAAAGGTCAAAGAGTTTATAAAAGAAAAAGAGCACATCATCTGTGCTCATGATGGAGTCTTCTGTGCCCTTGGAAAAAAAAATGAGCACATCATCTGCAAAACTCAAGTGAGTAAGACCAACACTATGGCATCTTGGATGGTATTTGAAAATTCCCTGAGCAGCTGCTGAATTTAGAAGTTTGGATGACACCTCCGTTGCAATATGAACTAAGGAGACAAAAGGGTCTCCAATATCCAACCAGACCCACCACTGATGGAGAGGGAGGACATAGGAGTTGTGACACAGCTCGGAATCCAATGAATGAAGACACAAGGAAATTCCAAAGCTGTTACTAGATTGAGAACAAAGTCCCAATTTGGGGAATCAAATGCCTTGCTCAAATCCACTTTCAGAGCACATCTTGGTGAAAGATTCTTCCCCTGATATCGTTTAACCATTTCCTGTGCAGGTAGGACATTTTCCATCAAATTTCTTCCTTGGTGATGATGATGGGGACTGGGGAGGCAAGCTTTCAGCCTGTTCGGAAGAATCTTCTTCGCTAATCCATTTGTGGATAGCATGTTCTTTGTCTTCGCTTTCTTTTTCTACGAACAAAAAGATATTTCAAGCATATCATTAATAGTTTCACACACCAGCCTCATATTGTATTCACAAACAATTCTCCTGTCTCTTTTCATCAGCAAAACAGGGTTTGTTCATTGGACATAAACTTCTGCTTTAAATGCCATAAATATCACATGATCATATAAGGAAGTACATCTTTGACTCTCATCCACAACAAAAAAGAATCGAAACCCTCCAATCCACACTAGGTAATTACGTATTGATCTTTCTCGCAAAGCTGGAATTTTTCTTGTTTAGAGCAATGTCGGCTCAATTTTTCAACTTCTTAGACCATTTCAAATGTAAAATCTGGGAAAGTTATACCCTTACAATTTATTGTGGCCAGAGCGACTTATTCCGTACAAATCTTACCGACAGGATGCTGGTATTATCAGAACTGGTAATCATGATTATCTTAGCTCGAAAGATAATTCTTACTAATTACGACTATTATAAGAGGAAGATTGGGAGTGATTACCAACCCCAACTAAGACAAACGACATCAAGAACTAAAACCAACAAATAAAAAAACCTACAGAAAAATCATATACTAAAATTGAATTGAAACTTACCTTTGTTTTCCCATCAAACATATCAGTTTTATATTAATAAGGTTTCTTTGTCAAGTATGGAACAATTCATTCATATATCTCATTAGTCAAACCAATTTTCTGGTAACCATTTATATTTTTGAAGATGATTCCATCTAAACATTTGAACATCCTTTTTGAGGTTTGATTTTATCTAAACCGTGAGGTTTACAGTTTGAACAGTATAAATCGAACTGATCAAATGCTCACTCTTACATTCCAGCTTTCAAAGTTTAATAATTTATTTTCTCTTCGTATGTGTCAATTTTGCAGATAGTATTCTTTTGTAAAGCCACGCACACAATCTGATGATTAGATCAAAGCTTGACAAGTCAAAAACCGACAAAGCAAGAGGCATGGGAATTAATGTAGTTAAATCACTTTGCTTATTTGTTAATTAATTTACCCTGTTTATGGAAACTTTCAATGCAAAACAAATTTGTACCGCAAATACAAGGGAACTCTGCGTCACCAAAGCTGGCTGAGTACAATTGAACTTAAAAATTTCTGGTGGGCAGAGAAGGTTTGCTCAGTCTCAAATCTCCTTTGACCCTACCTTCTCTGTCTGATCTGGTCAAAACTGAAGCTCTCGTCTCTGATGTTCTGCGTTTATCTTATTGATTACATATAAAAAGAGTGTTCAAAAGGAGTTTGCTGAAACCCTGAAAAGTGTTTACATACAATGGAGAAACAAGCTAAACCCAGAAACAAGATCCTGAAATTTTTGCCCAAAGCAGCTTCAGCTGTCAGCGTCACCTTTCAAAACCATCCCTTCAGCCCCGGCAGGGACAAGCGATCCGACAATACAGGCAAGCATAAGGCTTATGCAGGCAGAGGGTTCTCTGGTCCGATCGTTTCGATAATTCCTGATGAAGCTCGAAGAAAGTCCCAGAGTGAAACCTTTGAAACCCAAGAACCAACTTCACCGAAAGTGTCATGCATGGGACAGATCAAGCAGAAGAAAAATATCAGAAAAGCTAAGTGCGTTTCGCGTCCTAAAGAGTTGAAGCCTGTCTCCGAATCTTCTGGAGAAGAAGTGAAGAAGCATGCGTCCAAGTTAAAGCGAATCTTCAGCATGGCAAAACCAGCAAGGAAATCCGAGGCATCAAGCAAGAAGACAGAGTTGCCTGACAGAGCGCCTTCTTTGGGCCAAATGAAGCGGTTTACAAGTGGCCGTGATGCTTTTTCCAATTTTGATTGGATGGCTCAGATTGCACCTGCGGAAGCTGATAATAGGGATTATTACTCTGATGAAGAGAGAAGAGATAGTGATCTTGAAGACGACGACGTGATCATCCCTTTCTCGGCCCCAATGACGGTTGGTGGAGAGATGCCTTTGCAGCCAAGGAAAGAAATTAACTTATGGAAGAGAAGAACCATGAATCCACCAAGGCCCCTTCGATTGAATTCCATGGTCACCGCAAATTGATTGAATTTTTTTTTTCTTTCTTTGGCCTTCCTGTTCTTTATTTCTTCTCCTTCTTTCTCTTACTTCTCATATACAGATTGTGTAAACATAGACTGGTGAAACATGCAGAAGTGTTGTAATTGGCATTTGGCATGATGGGAACCTGTCTGATTCCTGGTTCTGTACAGATAATTGCTTGAACATCATTTCTTCTTTCTTTCTTCTCTTTCCAGTGGTTCTAATTTACTTCTTCCGCTTATGCTTGTGGAGATTGCTTTGAAACAAAGTGTTTGCATCAAACAAGCGATAAGGATTAACAGAAGGGAAATAATTTAGCAGAATCGTGTCTTGATCCAACAAGAACAAATGCATAACTTATGACAATTCAAGTTTGATAGCCGTAAAACTTTACTGTTTCATATGAACAGTTAAAACTAAATACAACTAATAACAATTCTCGCGATGGAAACAACCCAGTCACTGTACAGGTAGGTATGTTGTACAAGCAAAACCTCACTGTCAAAACTATGGCGGCCAGCCAAAGTGGAAAAGAATAAAAAAAAAAGGCTTAACCATATCAAAGCAAGGAGTGGTTTCAAAGTCAATTCGAAGCTGTACAGAAGATAAATAGTCCAACCGTGTGAGCTGATCTTCGGCATGTACATGCCACTTACCAAGATTTGCGCTAAGCCAACGCCCTGACAATCTTGGTCGACCCTTCACCAACATTTTGACAGTGAATCTTTCTTTTCCCAGTTAAATGGGTGGATATGAAAGTTATTGGTACCAAAAGCAATGCTAGAAATTTAAAGCAAGTACTTCATGATTCTCTTTTATTCTTTTTAGGATTTTTTTAAGTCATTTGAGGCCATGATACGTGATTGTGAAATTGTCCACGTCCCTCTTTCTCCAGCCTCCAATCCCCATCGCAATTTTTTTTTTAAGCTTAGGCAATCTGTGGAATAAATTCATCGGACTTGGATCAGGTTCATTCCGACTAATTGGGACCTTTTCCTCTTGAAATGATTTCGAGCAATAAGTTTCACTCGTTTTTTGAGAGGGAACCCCTTTTTTGACAAGTGGTAGACACACAGATCTCAGAAGAGACAAAATCTCCCTCTGACTTATTAATTCTGTCCTTCTATGGCAACCACCACCGACTCCCAAAGAGAATAAAAAAAAAACAATCTCTAATATGTCATGGGATAGTCTTTGTTAAACAAAAGATGTCTTAAACTGAAGTGGTATGGATTCGAAGGTACGAATTACACTTAGAAAAGTTCTTGCATAACAGTATTAGAATTGCTTAATTTTCTGCTCATCCTTTGCCTTTTCCAGGCTTTTGGTTGGTTTGCTAGAAGATAATTTTCGAGTGACCAAAAGATGGCCTGGAATTGAACAAAATCTCCTTTGTCTGCACATGAAGAAGAACAAATATCCTTAAAACAAAAAATCCTCTCCATTATCCTTTCAGCTCATTCTGATAAACCAAACCCTGAAGTAATTGGGGAAATGGAGCAGGGATTTGGGCCATGGATGTTTCAGAGGTGCTTCGTTTCATTTGGAAATGTCGGCTTTGTGGCCCAATGATTATTGTTCGGTTTCTTAATGGATAGGCTCAAGGCTAAGTTCTCTTCTTAACGTCTAAAATTCTGGACAATTACCTAATACAAGGAAATTGAGTTGCTGCGTGCAATTATCCTTTCAAAAGCTACTGCTCAAGAGGTGATGTAAGACCCAACATATCTAAAAATTTTAAGTTGAAATTATTAATACATACTGATTGACTTAAAACTATTATATAAGTATTAACAATTATATTCATATTTCATATGAAGTGTAATATCACGTTAATCAGCCAATAATTTAAAAAATAAACAACAACACAAAAGCATTTTTATAATCAGCCAAGAAAAAAGCATACTAAAAAATAATTAACCATTAAGTTTAAAGTGAAGAAAATTTTGGCCCAATTTAGCTATGAATTGTTGGGCTACACTTAGGGTTTCACTACTAAAATGCATCTTTCCAACATGAATTATGGTAGGAGTACAATCAACTAGAATACTTTGAGAAAAGACTTCAAATTTGATATTTGTATCATTTTGGGTTTCAATTTTTATTTTATAATTAAGTTACTCGGACACCTTGGTATCTTAGAATCTCCCCAATCAGCTCTCCTTTGCCAGAACCCACATACCTTCCGCAAATCTCACCGTCTCTGATGAACAAAAACGTTGGCACTTCGATCACGTCCATGTCCTTCAGGAATTGCATGCAGCTATCGTTCTCATCACCGTTCATCCTGGCGAAAACCACGGAATCCATCTGTCTGGAAAGCTTAACCACCGTTGGGTACACCTTGACGCATGGTCCGCAATGTTTGAGGCCGACATCCATAACAATCAGCTTGTGGTCGAGCTTGTGGTCTTCTATGAGCTTCTCAACGTCCTCCCTACAGTGCAGCTGCACCACGGCCGAATGACTGTCACCGTAGTACAACACATCGCCCATCAGCTGATCCGGTCCAATCCCTTCCTCTTCGTGGATTTTCTCCATGCTTTTGTAGAAGCTGAAGTGCGGGACTTTCTCTATCTTCTCTCTTTTGCAAAGCTCCCTAGTCTTCTCCGACTCATCGCCCATCACGAGAATGAACTCTACATCGTTGCAGGTCCTGCTAAGATCTACCATAAAAGGGTAAATCTTACTGCTATGGAAACTGTGGCTGGCAGCGAATTCCACCACAACAAGCTTGTTTTTAGCCATCCGAAGAGCTTCGTCGAATTCCTCTATGCTGTGAACTCGCTGTACTCTCTCATCACTTGGAGCTTTCTTTGTCCCCGGAGTAGCCGTAGCCTTAGTCACGAAGCGGGTTTTGCTTGCTTCTAGTCCCCCTGAAAAAGGTCTAGGTCTAGTAACAAAAGATGGTAGAAAGGAAGCGTGGGAGCGAAGAGAACTGATTTTGGGGATAGAGGACAGATCAGAAGAAGGTGGCTTGGTTAAGAAATTTGTGATTGTAGCCATGAGAGGTGAGCTAATTGCAAAGAGAATTGGAGTAATTGACTTTCTTCTGGAGTTTCCTGCCAGGGGCTCCTGAGGAACCAAAAGAAAAAGGTGAACAAGAGCTACGGAATTAGGATGAAATCTAAAAATCTCATTGACCCAAAATTGTAACCACTCGTTCTGGTTCGTTTGGTTCATGCTATCCACATATTTCAATCTTAGAATTGATCATGATATTCGAGCAATTTGGATAATAGAGTTTTTCTACCATCACTTCTTCTTAGCTTCCTCTTGTCTTTTTGTTAGCTTATTGTTCAAGAGAGTTGAGAATATCTAAAATTGGGCTTTCTTTAAAGTGAACATTTGGGCTTGCTGTTCAGTTTGAACTTCCCAATTTGATGGCAAAGCTACCAAGGAGAAGGTCTCGGAGGGCAAGTTTCGGTTTCAGTTTGATAACCATTTAAAGCAGGGAAGTTAGTCCAGACATGGAATTTGAGCTTTGCTTGTTTGGAAAGGATGAAGAGAGGCAAAGCTGAATAGTTTTTCACTAAAAAAAAAAATTTAAATTCCAATCAAAACTTTCCTATTTTGTTTCATAACCATTGGATTTTAAATAGTAAGAAAATCTTTAAGATAGAGAACGAAAAGGAGAATGTAACGGTAGGAACCTAAAAATTGTTTTTACATCATAACTAGGCCGCATGACTATGATACACCTATCGTTTTTTTTTTTTTTGATTATTTCAAAATTCTCTTTTTTTTAAATGCTGAAACTCTTTATTTTTTTCATATGTTCAAATATTTTTCTATTTTTAGATTTCTGATATGACAACTGACATTGAACAAGATCATTTTCCTTTTGGGCCAGGCCAAAAGTCCAAACACTATACAGTTCTGCAGACCGCCAACATCCAAAGCCTTATCATAAACACTTACCGCGACATAAACTGACAAGACAGGTGAATTACGAGGTCCAAGTTATAAGAAGGGCGGATAAACAGTTGCCCAACTCACAAGTAGTAATCAAACTTAAATCAATAACTCAAGGGCCTTCAACTTCAAATAAGAATAATAATGGATACTTTACAATTAAATATCCTACATTATTTGATACTATTAAATAAGATAAAGAGTATCTTATAATGCGAGTTCAATTACCTGCAGTGACAGAGAGATAAATAAAAAAGTATTATTATAAGATAATGGATACCACCACTTTCGTCCGTCCCAAAATTACCCTTTATACTTATCGGTTGGAGCCGTGCATTCCATATGGAAATGTGGTTTCAATTTCCACATGCAAAAGCACTACGTTAGTGTGAAAAGTTTTGATGGATATGCGGATCAAAAGATGGAAAAGTACTCGGAAAAATGGAACAGAAAAGAAAAGTAGAGCCCCCCAAATAAAAGTCAAGTGTAGCGACATGGCCCGACCTTCCTATTACTGCCAAAACTATGATCTCCATATCACCGCACTTTACTTTTTTTTTCTCTCGGATTAAAGAGATATAAAGCATCTACAGCCGTCGTTGTCGTTTTCGTTTCACGGAAGTCAGTGGGATAAAGATGAAAAGAAGAAAATATCCTGGAATCTCAACATCACCGAGCCCATAATGACCAAATATTAAAAAGAAGATTCAAGTCCCCTGTATTATCTATGGGTATTAATCATAATCTCAGAAGCTAAAAAATCTAAACTTGTGGACATATTGGTATGATATCAGTACCAAATTGCCCAAGCAGTGAGGATGACAGGAAATATACACTAGTATCAAAAGTAAAACTTGAAATTTTATTCCTGGAGGAAAAAAGATTAATGTAATAAGAATAGGACATGGGGAGAGGAGTTGACAGATCCAAAGCAATGTGGCCCACATGACCTGCTCCATGCAGCCAGCCCATGAAGCACATAAAATGTGACAAACGCACAAAACCGAACAGATGAGGCTGGATCCATGCCCGAGAGGAAAAATTACAACACGGCAAAAGTCAGTTTGCCAGTGGTCGCCACCTAAGCTTCTTTGCAAAGTTCCTAACCTTCCATGTGCGCTCCCCAACCCCGCTCCCCCCATCATGACCATCCCCCCCCCCCCCCCCCCTGCCAAACCACTTTGGCCTTCGGTTTCAGGTTTTTTCTAAATACTAACCAACCAGATTTACTCTTTAAGAAAGTATCCATACAGAAATCCAAATTTGTCACAAAACCTTTTCCAATTTCTAACTTC